GAAAAAAACACTGGTACTTTTAATTATAACCTTTAACCACTTGCCCTCCAGAGGATTTACCCCCCCCTTCCTGACCAGGCCATTTTTTGTGATATGGCACTGCGTTATTTTAACTGACAATTGCACGGTCATGCAACGCTGCACCCAAATGAAATTTACGTCCTTTTTTCCCCACGAATTGAGATTTCTTTCGGTGGTATTTGATTGTCTATGCATTTTTTATGTTTTGTGCTACAAAAAAAAAAGACCATCAATTTTGAAAAAAAAAAAACAATATTTTTGTCTTTTTGCTATTAAACATGTCCAGTAAAAAAAATGTAAACATTCAAATTTTGTCATAAATTTAGGCCAAAAATGTATTCTGTTACATGTTATTGCTAAAAAAAAAAATCTCAATACATGTAAATGAATTGGTTTATGTGAAAGTTATAGTGTTTACAAATGGCGGTATAGATACTGGAATTTTTTTTTTTACTGATAAGGGTGGCAATCAGCGATTTATAGCGGTACTGCGGCGTCCATTCGGACACTGCGGGAATTGACTTGGTGTCACTGACATCCCCAGTGACACCAATACAGTGATCAGTGCTAAAAAAAAAAAAGCACTGACACTATACTAATGGCACTGAGCAGCAAGGGGTTAACATGAGGGGTGGTCAAAGGGTTAACTGTTTGCTGGGAGTATTTTACTGGGGGGGTAGTATGTTGGTGCAGAGGATAGGACAATAGAGTATGGTGTTATCTGCTTTCCCACCGCCCTATACCAGATATACTGCTATAGGATGGCAGGGGTGCGCAAAATCATATATATATATATATATATATATATATATATATGGGACGCACCGTCATTTGCGGCCTCGGCTGTCAACCACTGGGTCCCGACCGGTGATTACTCGCCAGCATCTGTTGATGCGTAATATTTGGCATATATTGCGGAGGTGGTGCGCAGAGCATTACTGACAGATGGAGAGAACTGTAAGTAGCATAGCAGAGCCATACAAAACAGTGTGTTTACAGTTGAAAGCACTAATACAGCACACAGTAAAATAGCACACAGTTAACTCTTTGATCTCCCCACACGTTAACCCCTTCCTGCCCAATGCCATTAGTACAGTGTCAGTGCTTTTTTGTAGCACTGTTCACTGTATTGGTGTCACAGGGGATGTCAGTGACACCAAGTCACTGGGAGATCTCCTGCCACCATCCCAGATGGAGCACAAATTGTGCCAATTCAATAAGGTGCTGTGGAAGAATATCGCTCAAATTTCCTGATAATAGCAAGATCCCCTCTCATGGGGGACTACTTGGGGTCCCAGGCCAATTTGGAGAAGAAAAGAGGACTATATGGATGGAATAATGGGTGTCTAGGCTGGACATCTTGCATAGTATGCACTGGAACTTCTGGCTTCACTACATCCAATAAGGTGTCCAGCACAACAGGAAATTATGTTATTGAAAGGCAAATCTGTCTCTCACTGACACTGTGGACTGATTCACTTTAATAGAAAAACAAACCAGTCCTGGATTAGCAATAAGTACAAAACACCCTGCTGATGCTACCAACTAGTTTTTTTCAGTCATCGGGCCCCCCCAAAATTTTATCTAACAGAATTACTAGCTACTGCCACCTATCTTAGCCTGCTACATTTACTAGCTCATGCCAACTATCCTGGAATATTGCAGTACTCTGGCACTGTGAAGGTACCACAAATATTGTTTCCACAGACTGACCTCAGCTTATACTGTTCCACAACACCACGTACAGCTTAAAGGTATATCTCATACATCTAACTTAAAGGATTGGTGTTTTTTCCATGTTGCTCTCTAAGTTGCATTAAAAAGAGGACCCTCTTCTTACTGTATGGTATTTTAACCCCCCCCCCCCCATGAATCAAACCCAAGCACATATGCTCATTCTTAGTCACATGCTCCTTTATACCTGGTGTTTTCTTTGCTCATAATACGATGTACAGGGTGGCATTGCAGCAAAGGGATTGTGAGAATGTTCTGCCTGGGAGGGGGGCACTTACACTGGCAAAGCACAGGATCCCCATACTGCACTAAACAGGGGTGTATTTACCACAAGGCAAAGAAGGCATTTGCCTAGGGCAGCATTTTTCAGGGGGGCAGCAGCATTTGTCAGGGGGGCCGCAGCATTTGTCAGGGGGGCAGCGCCACCCCCCTGAAAGAAGGGATGGAAGAAGGGACACACACAGCATGGGGACCAGGTGGGATCTGCTAGAGGCTGTGGGTTGCTTGATGGTGTATGCAGAGCCTGACTCTTGTACCCAGAAATGTCCGGAACTGTGAAGGTGAGTGTCTCTTCCCAGGGTGGGAGGTTGCCAGTGTATGGGGGCAGTGGTACTGGAAGGCTCTCTCAGGTAGGGGTGGGGGGGGCTGGGGTGTTGGTCAATGTCAGACTCTCTTCATGAGGGAGGGAGGTGCTGGCCGGTGTCAGGGTCTCTCCGTGGGAGGGCAATTTTTGTGTTGCCTAGTGCAGTGGTCGGCAAGCCGCGGCTCGCGAGCCACATGCGGCTCTTTACACACTTTAATGCGGCTCTTGTGTGCCGGGCGCCCGCTCCCCTCCCTGCTCTCGGGCGGCAGGGACTCTGCAGCGTGATCCAAAAAAAAAAACAGCCAGGGCAGTGCGCTCAAATGCAATGATTGGCCAGTCTCGCTGCCACTCACATCCTGATAGCCAGTGATTGGCTGTCAGGATGTGTGTAGGCGGGGGCAGCGTGACGAACGTGAGAGGAGCTAGGCTCCTCTCACAGTCCGCCCTGAAGACCGAAACGGCGCGGGAACACGGCGAGAGGAACGCGCGGAGCAAAGGTAAGTGAATTGACACAGGGGGGACTTGGCTTACTACTTGCTACTTACTTACTACTACTACTATATGAGGGATGAATTAATATGGGGGATGAATTACTATAGGGGGGGTGAATTACTATGGGGGATGAATTACTATAGGGGGGATGAATTACTATATGGGGGATGAATTACTATGGGGGATGAATTACTATGGGGGATGAATTACTATGGGGATGAATTACTATATGGGGGATGAATTACTATGGGGGATGAATTACTATAGGGGGGATGAATTACTATAGGGGGGATGAATAATTACTATATGGGGGATGAATTACTATGGGGGATGAATTACTATATGGGGGATGAATTACTATGGAGGATGAATTACTATAGGGGGATGAATTACTATATGGGGGATGAATTACTATGGGGGATGAATTACTATGGAGGATGAATTACTATGGGGGATGAATTACTATGGGGGATGAATTACTATATGGGGGATGAATTACTATGGGGGATGAATTACTATGGGGGATGAATTACTATGGGGGATGAATTACTATATGGGGGATGAATTACTATATGGGGGATGAATTACTATGGGGGGTGAATTACTATATGGGGGATGAATTACTATGGGGGATGAATTACTATGGGGGATGAATTACTATATGGGGGATGAATTACTATGGGGGGATGAATTACTATATGGGGGATGAATTACTATATGGGGGATGAATTACTATGGGGATGAATTACTATATGGGGGATTAATTACTATATGGGGGATGAATTACTATGGGGGATGAATTACTATATGGGGGATGAATTACTATAAAAACTTATTGAAACTAAAAACAGTGTACCATCCTATGTATTTTCAGTTTTAAAAATGTGGCTCTCAAAATAAATTTCAATCGTGGTTTTGGCGAGATTTGGCTCAGTTGAAAAAAAAGGTTGCCCACCACTAGCCTAGTGCACCATGAAACCTAAACACACCACTGGCACTAAAACTGAGATAATTGAAGTTCATGTAACTTTATCATACAATCTATAATTATAAGCAAGCTACCATGTTACTCCAAATAAGTAAACAAATTGAGAATTGGATAGTTTTCCTCTTTTATCCATTACTGGATAGGATGTTGTCTGTTATCATATTTTGCCGTCTTGGTTTGAAATACAATCTCCTATTATACAATGTATGTGTTTTGAATCTTCCCTTACATAAAACATGGTTTGAAAAGTTGACCCCTTTTTTGTTTCATTTGATAATAATTGTGAATGTATCAATAAAATACCTAGCATGAAGCTATTTAGGAGTGTGACTCAGGAAAGTGTACATCTGTGCCTATAGCAATACTCAGGGGTTGATTTACTAAAACAGAAGAGTGCAATATCTGGTTCAGCTTTGCACAGAAACCAATCAGCTTCCAGGTTGAACAAACTGAAGTTAGAAGCTGATTGGCTACCATGCACAGCTGCACCAGACTTTGCACTCTCCAGTTTTAGTAAATCAACCCCGTAGGGTCTTAATTATCAGGTTTGTTTATCGTTTTTACTAATAACAACAAATGAGTCTTTCCCTGTTTTACACTACAATAGTTGGTATCTGCAATGCACGTTAAAAAATAATGTCTGCAATGTTTTGAAAAACTCATATACAGTTACTTAAAAGTGTATGTATAGGCAAAAGCTTTTACGTGTAAGATAGAGTAGGGAGAGGTTAAAACCCCTGCCATGTTATTTTGTTTCCTCACTGTCTGTGTTTCACTGGGTTTCCCTTCACTTGCTGTCCTGGAGATGCAACAAGAAGGTACAAGAGATCTCCACAATTAGAGAAGACAGTTATCACCAGAACAGGTGGTCCACCTTGGAAGATTTCCTCTTACCTCTTGTTATGGGGACAACACAAAAAAATTGTGATTTCCCCTTATTTTCTCTCTTGATGAAAATAGTCACCAGTACAAATAGAGGGGTGGATATCTCCAATGGAGGCATAGACAGCAATACACAAAATGAGTCTAAGCCTTCAATACTTTACTCAAAGCTAAAAAAAAAAAGGTTTTGCCTAGGGATACACTTTAACTTTTTTTTTTTTTTGGACAAGGCTTTCTATTATACTATTGTTAATGCAACCCCGATTTGTAATGCCCTGATGATCAGTGTAGCCCCAGCAGTGCCACCTGTCAGTGTCCATCAATGCCACCTGTCAGTGCTCATCAAGGCCACCTGCCAGTGCCCATCAGTGCCACATCAATGCCACATAACAGTGCTTACCAGTGCACATCAATGCCACATATCAGTGCCCATCTGAGCTGCCTTTCAGTTTCACCTATCAGTGCCAGTCAGTGCCACCTATCAATGCCAGTCAGTGCCACCTATCAGTTCTGCCAATCAGTGCCACATATCAGTGCCAGTCAGTGCCGCCTAGCAGTGCAAGTCAGTGCCGCCTAACAGTGCCAGTCAGTGCCGCCTAACAGTGCCAGTCATTGCTGCCTATCAGTGCCACCTATCAGTGCTGCCTATCAGTGCCATATATGAGTGCTGCCTTTCAGTGCCCATCAGTGATGCCTGTCAATGCCCATCAGTGCCACCTACCAGTGCCTCCTCATCAGTGCCCATCAGTGCAGCCTATCAGTGCCCATCACTGCAGCCTCATTAGTGCATATCAGTGAAGGAGAAAAATCACTTATTTACAAAATTTTATAACAAAAACTAAGAAAAAAACATTTTTTTTTCAAAATTTTTCAGTTGTTTTTGGTTTGTTTAGCAAAAAATAAAAAACCCAGAGGTGATTAAATACCACCAAATGAAAGCTCTATCTGTCTCAAAAAATGATAAAAATTTCATATGGGTACAATGTTGCATGACCGCACAATTGTCATTCAAAGTGTGACAGTGCTGAAAGCTGAAAATTGGCCTGGGCAGGAAGGGGGTATAAGTGCCCTGTAGCCAAGGGATTAAAATGACACTAAAATTATAAGTCTGGTACAGAACACTGCAAAAATATTTACAAATATTTTTTTTTTTTTAATGTTGCACTGTAATGCAACGCTGAAACAAAAATACCAAACAAAACGTAAAAAAATGAAATATAATGATTAGAAAAATAGAATAAAATGTGTGTAAACTAAGGGTCAATAATTGGTTAAATAGGAACTATCATTTGCAGATCAAAGTTCATCCCTTTGATCTGCAGATTATTATTATTATACAGTATTTATATAGTGCCAACAGTTTTCTCAGCACTTTACAATATAACGGGAGACAATACAGCAACAATACAGTTCAATACAAGAGGGATAGGAGGGTCCTGCTCCTTGGAGCTTACAATCTAAGAGGGGGGGCTGGTGGTACAAAAGGTAATAACTGTGGGGGGTGAACTGATAGGAGAAATAGAAGATTGGGTTATTAGCTGAAGGCAGGATAGGCTTCCCTGAAGAGATAGGTTTTCAGAGATTACCTAAAAGTGGGCAGAGTAGGCGATAGACGGATAGATTGGGGTAGAGAATTCCAGAGGATGGGGGAGGCTCTGGAGAAGTCTTGTAGATGAGCATGGGAGGAGACAAGGGAGCTAGAGAGCAGGAGGTTGTGGGAGGAGCAGAGAGGATGGTTTGGGTGATATTTGGAGACAAGATTGGTGATGTAATTTGGGGCAGAGTTGTAAATGGGTTTATATGTTATTTGTTAATGTTTTGAATTCTATTTGTTGGGCAATGGGAAGCCAGTGGAGGGATTGGCAGAGAGGAATGGCAGATATGGAACGATTAGTAAGGTGTATGAGTCTGGCAGCAGCATTCATGATAGACTGAAGAGAGGATAGCCTGCGATTAGGTAGGCCAATGAGGAGGGAGTTACAATAGTCAAGGAGAGAGATAACAAAGGGAGTGAATAAGTTGCTTAGTGGTTTCAGTGGTTAAAAACGGGCGTATCTTGGAGGTGAAGTCTACAAGATTTGGACAGTGATTTTGGGCTGAAAGGACAGATGGGAGTCCATAATTACTAGTACCGTGGCATGAGTGGAGGGACTGATGGTTGTATTCAGATGACTGAAATAGAATAGCTACAAAAGCATATTACTTTGTATCTTTCTATCTCATGTCTGAACAGTGTCTGTAAACACTGTGTCAGACAATCTGCTTTTTGAAAACAGCAAATATTATAGCTGCTTATTTACATAGTAACTCCTGGCTGTGTTATTGACAGTTTGGAATTGCTGGCAAGTGTAAGGGGGGTAAGGAGCAGAAGTGGCATAAGGACAAACTATACTACACCATCCTATGTATTGTGATGACTTTGTTTGGACATGTGTAGTACAACTAGTATCCAGAACTGGGTAAAGTGTATATACAGTAAAGCCAAAAGTTTTCTTTTTTAATTTTGAATGGAAAGTGAGGCATTGGAATCTCTGTCAGGTTTTATTGCTGTCTGCATCCCTGCTCCAAATTTACTCTCATTGTTTTTCTGGTGACCATTGTCGTTGAGAATGGAAGTGAAAATGAATCCAACAATTTAAGTTGTTAGCAGAAGAGGAAAAGAGGGAAATCGTTTTCCATTGACAGCAGTCTATAGGGTATTTACTTATCTTTGAAGAGATTATTTTTGCATTTGTGTCTCAGTTGGGGATATTCTTTCACTTCCTGACCTATAGGCACAACTGGAAGTGAAATGATATCCCTGAATGGGATTCAAATGCAAAAATGCTAAGATATTCCTGACAGGGGTTTCAATCCTTAAAAACCCATTAAAAAGTTCTGGCTTTAACCACTTGCCTACAGGGAACTTATACCCCCTTCCTGCCCAGGCTAATTTTCTGCTTTCAGCGCTGTCACACTTTGAATAACAATTGTCATGCAACACTGTACCCATATGACAGTTTACCATTTTTTTTAGACAGATAGAGCTTTATTTTGGTGGTATTTAATCACCTCTGGGTTTTTATTTTTTGCTAAACAAACCAAAAACAACGGAAAATTTTGAAAAAAAAAAGTTTTTTTTCGTAGTCTTTGTTATTCAATTTTGTAAATAAGTGATTTTTCTCCTTCACTGATGTGTGCTAATTAGGCTGCAGTGATGGGCACTGATAGGCTGCACTGATGGGCACTGGTAGTTGGCACTGATGGGCATTGGCAGGCATCACTGATGGGCACTGAAAGGCAGCACTCATATATGGCACTGTTAGGCAGAAATGATAGGCGGCACTGATAGGTGACACTGACTGGCACTGATAGGCGGCACTGACTGGCACTGTTAGGCGGCTCTGATAGGCAGCACTGACGGGCACTGATGCGCACTGATAGGCGGCACTAACGGGCACTGATAGGCAGCACTAACTGGCACTGATAAGCGGCACTGACTGGCACTGATAGGTGGCACTGATTGGTATTGATAGGTGGCACTGATAGGTGGCACTGAAAGGCAGCTCAGATGGGCACTGATATGTGGCATTCATGTGCACTGGTAGGCACTGATATGTGGCATTGATGTGGCACTGATGGGCACTGGCAGGTGGCATTGATGGGCAATGACAGGTGGCATTGATGGGCACTGACAGGTGGCACTGCTGGGGCTACACTGATCATCAGGGCACACTGATCATCAGTGCCCTGATGATCAATGTACATGTCCCTTCCGCAGAAAGCCGATTACCGGCTCTCCTCTCCTCTCGAGAGAACTGCCGATAACCGCCATTTCCTTATTTACATGCAATCAGCTGTGATTGGACACAGGTGATCACAAGATAGAGCCGACGTCTTCAGCTCTTTCCATTAATCGGTGATCCGCTGTGTCCCATGTGCGGTTAGAGTGGGAGGACGTAATATGACGTCCTCCCAAAACGACAGAATCACCTTGTGCTCGTCATTTCCTTATATGGCGGGTGGGAGGCGGTTAAACATGTTTTGAGCTGACTGGCATCTACAATAATTCTCAACTGTGAAGTTTTTTTTTTATTATTATACAGGATTTATATAGCACCAACAGTTTGCTCAGCACTTTACAGTATAAAGGGAGACAATACAGCAACAATACAGTTCAATACAAGAGGGTTAGGAGGGCCCTGCTCCTTGGAGCTTACAATATAAGAGGTATATATCTATATATTATTATTATACAGGATTTATATAGCACCAACAGTTTGCTCAGCACTTTACAATATAAAGGGAGACAATACAGCAACAATACAGTTCAATACAAGAGGGATAGGAGGGCCCTGCTCCTTGGAGCTTACAATCTAAGAGGTATATATCTATATATTATTATTATACAGGATTTATATAGCACCAACAGTTTGCTCAGCGCTTTACAATATAACGGGAGACGATAAAGCAACAATACAGTTCAATACAAGAGGGATAGCTTACAATATAAGAGGTATATATATCTATATATTATTATTATACAGGATTTATATAGCGCCAACAGTTTGCTCAGCACTTTACAATATAACGGGAGACAATACAGCAACAATACAGTTCAATACAAGAGGGATAGGAGGGCCCTGCTCCTTGGAGCTTACAATCTAAGAGGTATATATCTATATATTATTATTATACAGGATTTATATAGTGCCAACAGTTTGCTCAGCACTTTACAATATAACGGGAGACAATACAGCAACAATACAGTTCAATACAAGAGGGATAGGAGGGCCCTGCTCCTTGGAGCTTACAATATAAGAGGTATATATTTATATATTATTATTATACAGGATTTATATAGCACCAACAGTTTGCTCAGCGCTTTACAATATAACGGGAGACAATACAGCAACAATACAGTTCAATACAAGAGGGATAGGAGGGCCCTGCTCCTTGGAGCTTACAATATAAGAGGTATATATCTATATATTATTATTATACAGGATTTATATAGGAACAGTTTGCTCAGCACTTTACAATATAACGGGAGACAATACAGCAACAATACAGTTCAATACAAGAGGGATAGGAGGGCCCTGCTCCTTGGAGCTTACAATATAAAGGGATATCTATATATTATTATTATACAGGATTTATATAGCGCCAACAGTTTGTTCAGCACTTTACAATATAAAGGGAGAGTTAGCAACAATACAGTTAAGGGGAGTTAGGAGTTAGGAGGGCCTGCTCCTTGGAGCTTACAATCTAATTTAAAGGATCTTCTTCTTGGATCTGAGAAATAGAACTCTGCTAATGAAGGAAACAAATCATAAACCTTTCTCTGTAACAATGATACTATAGTGTATGGAAACCACTGCATGCAATATCTCGAAACAGTAAAAAATATATATTTGTATTTTTTTATACTGACTTTAATTTATGACAGATAGCCTGGACTAGTTTTATGCACACACTATAATAATGTGAATTGCACTTTTGTGTCACAGATAACAATAACCGTGTAAAGCTAATTGCGGATGCTGGTGTGCCTGGCTCAGATTACATCAACGCAAGCTATGTGTCTGTAAGTATAAAAATACTTTATGGTAAACCACTCTGGTTAAGGAAGCAAGTCTAAAACCACAGTTCAAACATCCCTAATACTCCTGGCATGCAGAAACCTTTGAATCATTACTCATGTTCTTCTGGCACAGTAATTACATTCTTGTTACATTTTTATTAAAAACAATTCCAAATTAAAAAAAAAAGTAAAGCTGTCTAATTATGGAAGAGTGAGAAAAGTCTATATAAAGAAGACACCAATTAATAACACTAATAACACTTACTAGAAATATATGAGAGAAGAGAACCCTTGGTAAATGTCAGACATGACAAGAAATTCTTTGTGTTCAAGGGCTCATAAAAGAAGAAATATAATACAATTATATTTTCTATCACACAAAACTGATTTTTTTGTAAATGAAAGTTTTTTTTGCTTAAAGTGTAACTAAACCCACACTCACTATGGAACTTAGGGGTTAATCCTCTGCATTGTGTAAAAAGGATGTTTGATCCTGTCTTCTCTGATCCTCCCCTTCTTCCACATTCCCCATTTCATCTCCTGATAGAACACAGCCTCGGGGACACTCTGAACTAGCTCAGTTTGGTGTGTATTGCTAGAGAGTTTTTTCTTTTTCTTGGGAGAGTGCATGTGATTAGTACAGGGCCAATCAACACTGTCCAGATAGAGGGTCAGGGGTTATGCAATCTCATAGGGCAGTGAGAGGAGAATGAAAACTGCTCCTACAAGCTTTAACCAGTGCTTGGCTGGACACTGATAGAAGTCACAAGACTGGATCTAACTGCTGATGAGAAAAAGGTATTTAGCAGTTTATATTTACTAAAATAATTGCAGTGCCATGTCCTGTGTACTGTGGGAGACCAGATATAGTGAATGCAGGGACCTGGGTTTAGTAACACTTTAAGGGGAAGGTAAATGATAATTAGCTGAATAATCTATTGGCTCCTTAACCACTTCCTGTCTGGACACTTTTACCCCCTTCCTGTCCAGGGCAATTTTCAGCTTTCAGTGCTATCACACTTTGAATGACAATTGCACAGTCATGCAACACTGTAACCATATTCATTTTTTACCATTTTTTGAGACAGATAAAACTTTATTTTGGTGGTATTTATTCACCGCTGGGATTTTTATTTTTTTTGCTATGTAAATAAAATGTCCAAAAATTTTGAAAAAAAAGTGTTTTTCTTATAAAAGTTTGCAAATAAATAATCTTTCATCATAAATCTTGGCTGAAATGTATTCTGTTATCATTTTAGTAAAAAAAAATAAGCCACATTAGTTTATAACCCAAAATTATAATTTTTTTTTAAATTTTTTTACATTTTTATTTTATTTTTTTATATTATTATTTATGTTTTTTGTTTGTTTTACATACTGTCACCCTAGCAGTACAGTGTCACTACTTGTGGGGGGTGACAAAGAATTTTTTTTTTTTACAGTGATTGCTTTTACACCCATATAGGATGTAAAAGCAATCATTTCTCTTTCTCTCTGGCTGCATTCTTGCAGCCATTGAGAACTACTGAGTGAGCTGTGATTGGTCACAGCTTGCCACATGGTACAAGGCTGTTGTGAATAACCTTGTACCATGTGACCTCTGTGATCATTCACAGATTTCACACGTAGTAAGCAATGATGTCACAAGTGACATCTTGCTTACTACTTTGCATGTGATCAGTAAGCAATGATGTCACAAGTGACATCTTGTTTACTACTTTGCATGTGATCACTGATTGGCCAATCAGTGATCACATGATCGGGACCTCGTACAGAGGTCCCATCCGACGATCAGTGTTTCACTGTGTCCGGAGAACACAGCGGGCACCGGATTGCGGTGCTGCTGCGCACTCCCAGGGAGTGCGCACAGCTAGAAATGGCAGGTGCTGTTTATGAACGGCAACCCGCCCCTGGAGTGCCACCGTCCTGCCATTTATAAACAGAAGGCGGACGGCAAGTGGTTAAGGTGTCTTGAATTTTGATGGACATGATTGTAAACCCTCACCTTGTAAAACAACCCATTCAATTTAAAATATAAATTGCAAAACATTTGTGCATAGATGTTAAAAGAAAACTTTTAAAAACCTTGTTTCCCATTTTTATTAAGTGATCACAGTCCCTCTGTTCTCAGATGCAGAGAGAGCTGGGGGAGGAGAAGCCGCAGTACCCTGATCTTCCCAGTGAAAGTGGTGCTCTCATGCTTAGTGTGGTCAGTTTTTAATAGTAAAGCAGAGGAACTAGAAGGAAAACCAGGGGTTTCACACAAAGGAAGCAATACAAGTACATGGTACAGCAGGGACATATCAGGAATATAACATGTTGGGTTTACATATTCATTAAAGCTGATCATTTTTTGGCTGCTTGCACTGTAGAAATAAATTACGACTAATAAAGTGTGTGCAATATATGTATACTACTGTGTTTTGTAATATATTTACTTTCATCCCCCCCGTACAGTATTGTCTGCACGGAATGTCCAGCACTGCAACTTACAGTTTCATCTGCAGAACACAGATCACAGCAGATCGCTAGCTCTGCAGCTTGTGCATTCTAAAAATGTATTGCATTTTCTTTAATGAATGCAAGGTATTCTGTGACTGGAGGAGGGGAGATTGTGATATTCATCCATACCTTCTCCATTCATAGAATGCCTTGCATTGCCCGAAAAGAATTCAAGACATTTTCAGAATGGATGAACTGCAGAGCAAGTGACCCACTGTGATCAGTGTACTCCAGACCCAACTCTAAGTTTCAGCACCCCATGTTCACTTTCAGTAAAGAATTCCCCACTTTAATCGTATTTAATTTTAGCGCTGTTAGTTCTACTGTCTGCACACAGCAGAGTCTTTATTAACTATGATGTACAATATGTATGATATATATTTTATGGAGCTGCCATAACAGTCATCATAGAGAGTTTACTCCATATCTTTTTCATTTATCTGAATTATAGTGAGAATGCACACTCCTACATTACAATTTGGGGGAGATTTACTAAAACTGGTGCCCTCAGAATCTGGTGCAGCTGTGCATAGTAGCCAATCAGCTTCGAAGTTCGGCTGGTTGGTTTCTATGCAGAGCTGCACCAGATTTTGCATGCTCCAGTCTTAGTAAATAAACTCCTACATAACCCAATTCTAAGGGAGAAGAGGGATTGCTAAAATCACAGATTACTAGTTCAGCAGATCAGAAAAGGGTCACATTTAAATTCTTAAATATAACAATAAGATGAATCACAATAAAGAACGGGTGGGGCTGGGCTCTTGTAACACAGGTAATATTTTTACACATTTCCCCTACTATAGACAGATGAATGGCTAAAGTAGATGATCCTGTTAGAATACCATATTAGAATAGCTGCCTAGATTGATATTAAATGTTTTTTAAAATAACAAACATGTCATGCTTACCTGCTTCGTTCAATGATTTTGCACAGAGCAGCCCCAGTCCTACTCTCCTTGGGTCCTCAGCACTCCAGGCCCCTCCCTCCTGCCTGGTGCCCCTACATTTAGCAGTTTGCCATGGGGGCACCCAAGCAGGCTTGCACCAGAGATGCTGCTCTGTGTGTCCATTCACACACGGAGCATGGCTCAGCCTGCCCCCACTCTCTCCTCATTGGCTCACTGGCTGTGATTAACAGTAAAGGGAACCAATGGATACAGCTGCTGTCTACAGCCAAAGAGGAGGGAGAGGCCCGGGAGAGTCGAGGCTCTCATGTACATCGCTGGATCGAGATGAGGCTCAGGAAAGTATTAGGAGGGCTGGGGGCGCTACTATACACAGAAGGTTTTTTTATCTTCATGCATAGAATACATGATAGTAAAAAAACCTTGTGCTGCTGAAAAACAAGACTGTTATAATTTATTCAGAGTTTGGTCCATAACAATATGTGTCATTTCAGGGGTATATTTGTCCTAATGAATTCATTGCTACACAAGGACCACTGGCTGGAACTGTGGGAGATTTTTGGAGAATGGTTTGGGAAACGCGAGCAAAAACTGTAGTGATGCTAACTCAGTGCTTCGAAAAGGGCAGAGTAAGTTTAAAACTATTACATATTTATATATATATATATATATATATATATATATATATATATTACAGTTTATATTAATTTGGTACTCTTTCTACAGATCAGATGTCATCAATACTGGCCAGAGGACAACAAACCAGTGACAGTTTTTGGGGATATTGTGATCACCAAAGTTTGTTGAAGATGTTCAAATCGACTGGACCATTAGAGACCTTAAAGTTGAAAGGGTAATGAATTTGCTTATCTTACTGTCAATACTTTCCCATATTTTTTCTTCTGTTTTTAGAGTGGAACATGTAACATGTTCCCGCTCCTGCAATGGCTCAGCGATCTGAGCTCCATGTGTGTGTGTGCGTGAGTGACAGCAGTATGGGGGGAAGTTCCCTGTACCAGCTGTCATTTTTTGAAAACAGCACAGCCATGTGGGGCTCTCTTGCCTTCAAAGCCTCATTATTTATTTACAGACTTCTGTGAATGAATCAACTGCAAGAAACGACATCCTTTGCGAATGTTGGCTTTTATTTCTCAATGAACTACCACCGCCCTGTTGAGCGTAGTAGTAGTTCATTGATTCTTCCTGTCAGTGTGAAGCTGGCCTGCCCATACAATGTACAGCAGACAGCTTACAATAACAGTCTGCAGGAGTCATGCATGACACCAGCTATCTGCTGATTGTTTTTTGCAATGCTTTCCAGACTCCTTAAAATAATATAAATATAACAAAATGTGCATTTATTAATTTTTTTAAAAAGGTGAACTTATCCTTTAAGCCTAGTAAGCCTAGAAAACGGAGCGATTGTCTGATAATCTGTTCATGTGAAATTATCTGAAAGGGCAAGCAAGAAAATGTTTTTTTCATTGAATACCAGATCGACCGATTTTCATTTAATCAGTACAGTATTCATCCCAAAAAAATTGAGTGACTACGACCACAGATGCTTGGAAACGAAAGAGTACATAACATTACAATATAATACATTACATAACTTCTGAAGTTGTATTCTGTCACTCAAGAATTTTTGTAACTTTAGTAACCTCTCCATTTTCAATATGAGCCTAGCATGCCAAAAAAAAAACCTGACAATCATTTGTTCAATATTCTCATCGTGTGTACGAGGCTTTAGTTCCATTCCAAAAGAATGACTAAAAAAAAAACAAAGATGGATGTTCTTCTATTAGTAACCACTTGCCCTCCAGAGGATTTACCCCCATCCTGACCAGGCCATTTTTTGCATTGCGGCATTGTGTTATTTTTACTGACAATTGCACGGTCAGGCAAAACTGCACCCAAATTAAATTTACATCCTTTTTTTCCCATGAATTGAGCTTTCTTTTGGTGGTCTTTGATCGCCTGTGCGTGTTTAATTTTTTGCGCTAAAAAAAATAAATCTTGACAATTCTGAGAAAAAAAACAATATTTTTATGTCCAGTAAACAAATTTTAAAAATCTAATCTCGTCATAAATTTAGGCCAAAACGTATTCTGCTACATGACTTTGATAAAAAAAATCCCAATATGTGTAAATTAATTAGTTTATGTGAAAGTTATAGCATTTACAAATGGCGGTATATATATACTGGGATTTTTTTTTTTGTTACTAGTAATGGCGGCGATCAGTGACTTATAGCGGGACTGCAGCTGGCATTCTGACACTGGGGGGAACTGACATCGCAGTGACACCAATACAGTGATCAGTGCTAAAAAAAAAAAAGCACTAACACTGTACTTATGGCACTGGGCAAGAAGGGGTTAACATGAGGGGCGATCAAGGGGTTAACTGTGTGCTGTGTCCATGTGCTTCACTATAAGCATTCTGCTTTGCATCCAAAGCAGTGTGCACAAGCTGACAGGGAGAACTGTTTTGTTTACAAACAGTTCTCCTCCCCATCGGAGATGCTCGGCAATCACCGGGCGCTGGCAAGTAATCACCAGCCTGGACCCAGTGGTTGACAGCCGCAGCCGTGAATGGCGGCACGTGTGCACGCCCTACCCGGAGATGCAAAATCACGTATATATACGTGATTTTGTGCACCTGCGTCGCCATGTAGCTGTATTTCTCCTACAGGGCTGTCAGGTTAATACATGTGCTTGTTTGTTTGTAATATATCAGAAGGTATCATGGCTAAACAGAACTAATTTAGCTTCTATTCCAGCTGCCTGTCAAATTAACTGGCTAATGTACTCCATCAATCCCTGCACAGCTACTCTATAGCTGTTGTAGTAGAACTACATTCAAAAGCCTGTATGAAACTTTGAATGAGATTTCATAAATGTATTGAATGTGTGGTGTTGCTTAACCCTTCCTTTTCTTGCTAATCTGTTCACCATTTATCTGGGCTAAGTGTGTGAGCCCAAAATCTTACTGACATAAGGTGGGAAAGACTTTTTCTACTATGATATCTTGGAACACAAGACAAGTTTTCAAAATGTACCTCAAATATATTAAATCCAGGATTACCACTCTTATTAGTTGGAAAAAATGTGCCTGCATATACACTATACATACGTACTATTTATTAGCTAATACCACACAGTGTAGTGTTACCAGATTTTTTTTTCACATTTGAAAAAGATCAAAAAATGGCAAATAACATGAAATGTCACTATGCATAGAGTGCTGCCTCTGTTAAGGCACTGAAACACTTAGGGAACACTTAGGTCTTCTCAGAAGCAGTAGAGAAAATGTGGCTTACGTGTCAGAAGTGACTATTGTAGGAGCTAACGGTTAAAAATAGGCGAGGAAAATGCTATGTTTCCCACCCACTTATATATTTTTCTGACTTTTACATACTGTACCTCCTTCTTTGGTTTATTGCAGCATGGAGATTTTATGATGGTTCGTCAATGCAATTTCACTTCTTGGCCAGAACATGGAGTTCCAGAAAACACAACTGCTTTAATTCATTTTGTAAAGATGGTTAGAGGAAGCAGACCTCACGAAAATACACCAACAATCGTACATTGCAGGTACATTATGATTATACTATGGGGGTCTAACAACACTATACTATGGGGATCTATACTATGGGAGTCTAACAACATAAACAAAAATAAGGAATGCTAAGGAATATTCTGAAACTTACTGCTAATTCTTATCATTAGATATTTACAAAAATGAGTATACAGTGCATTTTTAGTATTTTTTCAAACATTTTTAAAAGTCATGCTTTGTGAATTACTTATATCCAGACAGGGGTTTGAAGCAGTAACATGAAAAACTAATCACTGACATTCTTCATCATTTAGGTTTCCGATGTTGGGATATTTTTGCTGTTGTTTTGCACTGTTTCTACCCAGCTTGGATATTTGGGGGCTTCTCTTATATAGTAAAAACCCAACCAAAGCAGTAGGACCCCTATAATTGCCAAAGTAGGTCTCTGAACTCAACAAGCTTACTACCAGAGGCTTGGAGATAGATATAAGCAAAAAATGAGGTTCCACCAGCCACTTTTTAAAAGTGTAACTGATAAGACACAAACATTTCACCATTTCATAAGTGGTTTGAAGTTACAGTGGTTTTAGGGCCTTCCATTATGTTATTTTGGTCAGTTATATTTTAAACATCTAGAATATGAAAGGGCCACCAACACTTTGTGAACTCTGGTATACTGGTGTATGGTTGGTTTCATCGCCACTAGGCATGCTTTCTTTGCAATATCATATGTCTGTAAAACACGAGGACACAGTTACAAAACACAGTAAGTGTGTGCTTTTCCCATGCAGAGTAAAGTGACAGAATGGCTTAATTGTTGGCAGCACCACATACTCACCTTCCCTTCACTCCCTTGATGCTTCATTCACTTCCAGGAGTGACAATAAATATGTGGCTCTTCCTGGTATACGAGAGCCTGTAGTTTCTTTTACACCCCCACATGTGTGTACTTTGCAGTTGGTTTCTCAGGCACCAAAAACTGTCATATGGGGTTAGGGAAAAAGTCCTCAACCCCGTGATAGCTCCAACAAGAATCAACTTGGAGCTTATACACAAAGTTTTTTTTTCTCCATACTCCCAATAGCAAATTAAATAGTAGTAGAATGGACCCGTGGGGAAAGAAAGTATAGGTTGCTGCAGCTCTAAAATGAGCCCAAGGACAAATGTGCCTCCTCATTCAGTACATGAATTTGATTTCCAAACCTTTGCTGTAAAAAGCATTTAAAATGTTGAAAAAGTGTGCTGTACTACCTTTATCAATTAAATAATAATATTGTTATTTTAGTGCGGGAGTTGGACGAGCAGGAGTGTTTATTGCACTGGATCATTTAATCCAACACATTAACCACCATGATTTTGTGGATATTTATGGGCTTGTAGCAGAACTTAGAAGTGAAAGAATGTGTATGGTACAAAATTTGGTAAGTAAAGAAACATTCTGCTGTTACCTACCCCTTTGTACTTTTGTTATATTAGTGTGTAAATGCACAATGTAAAAACATTTAAAAATACTTATACAGCAAAAATGTAAATATATCTGAACCCCTACCTTGTAAAATAGCCCTTTTAGTTTAAAATAGAAAAGCATGGCAAAACATTTGTGTACATATAAAAAATGTAAATACCTTTATTTTTTTATTTGGTAAACACAGAGGTTGAGGTAGTGAAACAGCAGTACAGTGATTTTCCCAGTGAATGACAGTGTAGGGTGGAGGTATCTGCAGAAGTCTTGGCCATTGGAGGACAGGCAGGCTGTTCTCCCAGCACAACCAGAAAACTGTCCACACTGGGATGAATGTGCTCTTCGGTCTAGTGTGGACACATATCAAGAATATGAAATGTTAGAGTAACATATTCTTTAAACTACATAGACTCTAGTGGAATTTATAGCCCATGACATACAGAGAAGTAGTGTGGAGAAGGAGCATTTCTATGGATTAATTGGTCATTGAATCATAGTTTTACTCAAAATGTGAACCCAGACTATCATGGACACACCACCTTGGGGTTTGAGCTCATAGTACTCCTGGACTAAGCAATATTAACACAGCATTACATGAGAGCTACTCAGTCCAGCAGAAAGAATCGCCCATTGCCGCCACAAAGGAAGGACATGTGACATCACTGGACCAGCCTGAAGACTATAGGGTATGTATAGGACACTTTTTAAAAAAAGATCCAAGAAATGCTTTGGGGGTGAGGGGCTGGAGTTCTGCTTTAAAATGATAGGCCCAGTTACAACATTGGGTGAATTGTGGCATAAGCTTCTAATGTTGGGCATAAAATTCCAGGATAGTAGAAGCATCCCCCCTCCTCCCCACCAAAAGGCACCCTTTTTGGAAAATAGACACTCCAAGGTATTTGCTAAGAGGCATAGTAAGTATTTTTCAGATCTCATTTGTTGCCACAAGTTTTTGGAAACTAAAGAAAGAAAACAAAATTGTTTTTTCTTTTCTTTTTCAAAACCCTGTGCAAAAAATATCTGAAAAATTCTTACCATGCCTCTTATCAAATTTTCTACTTTCCAAAAAGGGGTGGGGGGTGTTTATACTATGCTGGCATTTCAGGGTCTCCAAAACTGTGATAGGTAGTGAGAAAGTGACATGAGGAAATATGCCCTTTGAAAGCCTAAAGGTGATCATTCGATTTTGGGGGTCTGTTTGTGGCTAGGCTTCCAAAAAGCCTCTCACATTTGGTATCCCCAAACTCGGGAGAAGTAGCAGAATGTGTTTTAGGGTGTAATTCCACATATACCCATGGCATGTGTGAGCAAATGTAAAAAAAAAAAAAAAAGTTTGCCATTTTCCAAAAATATTTGGCAAAAAATAAAATTTTCCCATGGACTCAGCATGCCTCTCAGAAAATTCCTTGGGGTGTCTACTTAACAAAAAGGGGTAATTTGGAGGGTTTTTGTACTGCCAAGGCATTTTAGCACCTCAAAAAATGTGATAGGCAGTCAGAAAGTAAAAGCTGCATAAATTACAATATATATACCATAGTTTGTAGATGCTATAACTTTCACACAAACCAATTAATATACAGTATACAGCACTAATATATTAGTATTGGGATTTTTTTTTACCAAAGACATGTAGTAGAATACATTTTGGCCTAAATTTATGTCTAAATTTGAGTTTATTGGAAATTTTTGGAAAAATTGTCTTTGTCAGGAATGGACTGGCCAGCAATAGTGGGACTCAGCTGCCTTATGAGCTGCAGTACCAGGGCTGGCCAGCGGGTGCTCCCAGCAATCAGAGACTCAACCTTGCAGCCAGTCAAACACCTGGAACTAATTATACTGGTGTACCACGCTGCCCGCTACCTGCTGAACCTGGCCTGTGACCCCGACCATTCTCCGCTTGCTCCCCCTGTACCTACCTGCCCGACTGATATTGACCCGGCCTGCCTGGCCGACGCTTGCATTGTATGTACTGTTATCTGTGGGTGGTTGGTTTGGTTTGTTTGCACTGTGTTATGTTTTAGTATTGCACTGCGTTTATGTTTGTATGGTTAGTGTTAATAAATTACATTGTTTATAACATATCTGAAGTCTGCGTTTCCCTGCGTCAGTCACACACCTCTGGTCATACCCGGGAGCCCTGACATTACACCAAGGCCAATCCTGACCAGAAGTGGCTGCACAGGGAAGCCATCTTGGCTTGTTGATGGGAAGGATGGATCTGGATGAGGTTGCGTATTTATATCTGCTAGTGTTTGATGACAGGGAGTATGCTTATCAAACTCTGAAGGAGTATACCCGGGATGAACTGCTAGAATGTATATGGCTCGCTCATGTTCTAGTAGATCAGGGCACAGAGTTCTCTGGGTGCAGCCTTTGATTGAGGTTTGTGCTGAGTTGGTTTCATCTGGTACCTCCGAATGCAGGGTTGAATTTTTGCCACCATTTAGTGCAGACCAGGTAGAGTCCCTGGTGTGGTTATTAGAGGATGATGTGGGTTACTTTCTGGAGCATTATGCTACATGTTCACCACAGACACTAAGAGATTGTATAAACGCAGTGCAGTCTTTGGTCAGACAGGCTTTGTGTAAGCTCAGCTTTGTTCAACCCATACTACAGACATGGACAGACTTGTTGCACCCAGCCTCAGTCAGCTTACAAAAAACCCAGTCCTGCTTCTAATCTATTTCCTCAAAACTCTATTCCTGCATTCCCAACAGCTCCTCCTGCCCTGCTATCTACCGCATGTCAGTACCCTGTTCCCACTCGCTGCACCTATCCTGCCTTTAACCCTGTAAAAAAGCTCTCTGTAGCAACTGCTCCCTCTCCTGTTCCATCCTCCGGTTCTTCTCTCTGTCTCCAGCTGCTCCATTCGTTTGCAGACCTGCGTTTACTTGCAGTGCTCCAGTAGTTAAAACCAGAAAAAAAGCGAAAATTCTTTCCAACCAATACCATCCTGCCAGTATCCAAACCGGTGAACCTGCCTTCCGTGGTTCAGCCTGAAGCCTCTACTCAGCCTGAATCCTCTACTCAGCCTGATGCCTCTACTCGGCCTGATGCCTGTACGCAGCCTGATGCCTCTCTTCAGCCTGAAGCCTCTACTCGGCCTGAAGCCTCTATTTTGCCTGATGCCTCTACTCGGCCTGAAGCCTCTACTCGGCTGATGCCTCTACTCGGCCTGATGCCTCTACTCGGCCTGAAGCCTCTACTCGGCCTGAAGCCTCTATTCAGCCTGAAGCCTCTACTCAGCCTGAAGCCTCTACTCAGCCGGACGCCGGCATTCAGCCTGATGCCTCTACCCAGCATGATGAACTGATCCAGCCTGACGATCCTATTAGGCCAGTTGACTCGATGCCCGCTGTTGATCCAGATGATCCGTACCTGATCCGATGCCCGCTGTCGTGCCAATTGACTCAGAGCCCGCTGTCGTACCTGGTGACTCGGTGCCCACTGCCTTGCCAGATGACGCGGTGCCCGCTGGCGAGCCAAATGACCTGATGCCTGGTGACCCAGTGCCCGCTGTCATACCTGGTGACCCGATGCCCGCTGTCGAGCCAGACGATCCAATGCCTGGTGACCCGGTGCCCACTGCCTTGCCAGATGACGCGGTGCCCGCTGGCAAGCCAAATGACCTGATGCCTGGTGACCCAGTGCCCGCTGTCATACCTGGTGACCCGATGCCCGCTGTCGAGCCAGACGATCCAATGCCTGGTGACCCGGTGCCCACTGCCTTGCCAGATGACGCGGTGCCCGCTGGCAAGCCAAATGACCTGATGCCTGGTGACCCAGTGCCCGCTGTCATACCTGGTGACCCGATGCCCGCTGTCGAGCCAGACAATCCGGTACCTGATGACCCGGTGCCCACTGTCGTGCCTGTTGACTCGGAGCCCACTGCCTTGCCAGATGACGCGGTGCCCGCTGTCGAGCCAAATGACCTGATGCTTGGTGACCCGATGCCCGCTGTCCAGCCAGACGATTCAATGTCTGCCCCAGTGCCCGCGGTCATGCCAGTTGACTCGGAGCCCACTGCCTTGCCAGATGACGCGGTGCTCGCTGTCGAGCCAAATGACTTAATGCCTGGTGACCCGATGCCCGCTGTCCAGTCAGACGATCCAATGTCTGACCCAGTGCCCGCGGTCATACCAGTTGACTCGGAGCCCACTGCCTTGCCAGATGACGCGGTGCCCGCTGTCGAGCCAAATGACCTGATGCCTGGTGACCCGATGCCCGCTGTCCAGCCAGACGATCCAATGTTTGACCCAGTGCCAGCGGTCATGCCAGTTGACTCGGAGCCCACTGTCGTGCCTGGTGACTCGGTGCCCGCCGCTTGGCCTGGGGGCCCGAGACCTGTCGCTCCGCCTGGGGGGGTCCGGCGCCCCGCCGCTCCGCCTGAGGGCCCGAGACCTGTCGCTCCACCTGGGGGTCCGGCGCCCGCCGCTCCCGCCTGAGGGCCCGAGACCTGTCACTCCATCTGGGGGTCCGGCGCTCGCCGCTCCGCCTGAGGGCCCGAGACCTGTCGCTCCGCCTGGGGGTCCGGCGCCCGCCGCTCCGCCTGGGGGCCCGATGCCTGTTGCCCCGCCTGGGGGCCCGATGCCTGTTGCCCCGCCTGGGGGCCCGATGCCTGTCGCCCCGCCTGGGGGCCCGATGCCTGTCGCCCCTCCTGGGGGCCCGGCACCCGCCGCTCTGCCTGGGGGCCCGATGCCTGTCGCCCCGCCTGGGGGCCCGATGCCTGTCGCCTCGCCTGGGGGCCCGACGCCTGTCGCCCCGCCTGGGGGTCCGATGCCTGTCGCCCGCCCTGGGGGCCCGACGCCTGTCGCCCCGCCTGGGGGCTCGATGCCTGTCGCCCCTCCTGGGGGCCCGATGCCGGTCACCCCGCCTGGGGAAATGCCGGTCACCCCGCTGGGGACCCGATGCTGGTCGCCCCGCCCCCGGGGGGGCCCCCGATGCCTGTTGCCCCGCCCGGGGGCCCGGTGCCTGCTGCTCTGTCCGGGGGCCCGGGGCCTGCTGCTCCACCCGGGGCCCGCTGCCTGCTGCTCCGCCTGGGGGCCCGGTGCCTGCTGCCCCGCCTGGGGGCTCGGTGCCTGCTGCTCCGCGTGGTGGCCCGCTGCCTGCTGCTTCGCCTGGTAATCCGATGTGCCTCTGCCCGGAGTCCTGCCCGATGTGCCTCTGCCCGGAGTCCTGCCCGATGTGCCTCTGCCCGGAGTCCTGCCCGATGTGCCTCTGCCCAGAGTCCTGCCCGATGTGCCTCTGCCCGGAGTCCAGCCCGGTGTGCCTCTGCCCGGTGTGCCTCTGCCCTATGTGCCTCTGCCCGGAGTCCAGCCCGATGTGCCTCTGCCCGGAGTCCAGCCCGATGTGCCTCTGCCCGGAGTCCAGCCCGATGTGCCTCTGCCCGGAGTCCAGCCCGATGTGCCTCTGCCCGGAGTCCAGCCCGATGTGCCTCTGCCCGGAGTCCAGCCCGATGTGCCTCTGCCCGGTGTGCCGCTGCCCGTAGTGCCTCTGCCCGGAGTCCAGCCCGATGTGCCTCTGCCCGGAGTCCAGCCCGATGTGCCTCTGCCCGGAGTCCAGCCCGATGTGCCTCTGCCCAGAGTCCAGCCCGATGTGTGCCTCTGCCCGGAGTCCTGCCCGATGTGCCTCTGCCCGGTGTGCCGCTGCCCGGAGTCCTGCCCGGTGTGCCAGTCTTTGATATCCCGCCAGTTACCAGACCCGGGCGGTGGAACATTTTGCCCAGCTAGGACTGTTTGGAGCGTCCTGAGGCCGCTCCTTGAGGGGGGGGTACTGTCAGGAATGGACTGGCCAGCAATAGTGGGACTCAGCTGCCTTATGAGCTGCAGTACCAGGGCTGGCCAGCGGGTGCTCCCAGCAATCAGAGACTCAACCTTGCAGCCAGTCAAACACCTGGAACTAATTATACTGGTGTATTTAAGGGACATTCAGACCTGCAGACTCTGCCTTGGTGTTGTGTTTCTCTTGGGCCCTGTATCCTGTTCCTGCTCTCTGTTCCTGTCTGATTCTCTGCTGACCCTGCTCTGATCCCTGGCTTGTCTGACCATTCTCCTCTGCCTGACCCTCTGTACCACGCTGCCCGCTACCTGCTGAACCTGGCCTGTGACCCCGACCATTCTCCGCTTGCTCCCCCTGTACCTACCTGCCCGACTGATATTGACCCGGCCTGCCTGACGACGCTTGCATTGTATGTACTGTTATCTGTGGGTGGTTGGTTTGGTTTGTTTGCACTGTGTTATGTTTTAGTATTGCACTGCGTTTATGTTTGTATGGTTAGTGTTAATAAATTACATTGTTTATAACATATCTGAAGTCTGCGTTTCCCTGCGTCAGTCACACACCTCTGGTCATACCCGGGAGCCCTGACAGTCTTGGTGCACTTTTGACAAACCTTGACTACCTTTATAGGTTGGTCATAAAGGTTTTATAAATTACTGTTCTTACAGCAGTAAAACAGAATTTTCTTATCACAAGAACACAAGTTGCCTATTTTAATACAACAAAACTTAAAAAATAAAAAAGACTTAGCAAAGACGCCAATACACTTGGCCTAAAGTCTCATGTCCTAAACAAGCACACCTCTACCTACAGTAAAGGCATGGCTTATTTAGAACCTTCACTATTGTGTCTGTGGTTATTATTTGTCTTGATGCACTTTTGCAAACCTTGACTAGCTGATGCATATCTGAGCTATTCTTTGTAGGAGGTCATAAAGGTTTTATAAATTCCTGTCCTTGCAGAAGTAAAACAGAATTTTTTTGTCTGAACACAAGAACACAAGTTTTCTATTTTTTCCTGGAAAAGTATACAACTTTTGATCTTGCTGGAAGAACAATAAATTGCCCAATTTTGCTTAGGTACACAAACGTTAGCCATCTAAAAATAAAATCACACTTACTAAAGCACATACTTAAAATAGTTACAAGTCTTAGACAAATTAGCAATGTGCTTAGCTTTGCATGTTTCTTGAGATGTACAGTATATCCTGTGTATAGATGGCCCTAGTCTTTGTTGTGACCTGTTAGATATAAAAAAACAGTTGGAATGTCTATAGAAAAAAAATTAAATATACAAATACTCTCTATCAAAATAAATAGGTCATATTGTATTACTGAATGCTACTGTATATGTAGATTTTTTATATGAAGGTGATAATGCTAATTTTTCACTAATGCTAACAATCTTCTTTCTCATCTATAGGCCCAGTATATATTTTTATACCAGTGTGTTCTGGACTTATTAGCAAGCAAAGGCAGTAACCAGGCCATCTGCTTTGTTAATTATTCTGCCCTTCAGAAAATGGACTCCTTGGATGCCATGGAAGGTAAGCAGATACACACTGTACCCAACGTGTTTCATTTTCCTTCAAACACAGTTATCTGAACTCTGTCTTTTCTTCCATTTCCCTTACACCTAAAAAATAATTGTCAATTTTGTGTGCAGCAAGTTTCCAAAAGAAAACTCGCATCTATAGATTTAAAGTTTTCCGCTTTTGCACAAACTTGCTTCTTAAGGCCCAGTGATTGTTCTGATGGAAAGTCACAATTATTTAGCAACACATTTGAATGTTATTTTATTGATTTTGTATGAATTTATTAGCTAATCTCTTAGCTGCATTCACAGTTCATGATTTGGCATCTCGAGCAGAATCCAAATCGCATGGCAATCACAGCACAATGTGCAGTGTGCGCTTGGATGCCATTATCCTTCAATGGCACCCCAGACGCGATGCAATTCTGCCATGATTGTTGCGCAACAGGATAGCAATGTAATCGCTGTGAACCTTGCCTTTACAAATTGTGTGAAGCTTATCGCCTATTAAGGAGCAGGAGCTTCTTTTCGGGTGACAAACACGCATAGGGCAGCCCATTCAAGTGAATGAGTTGCCCTATGTGACACATGGAATCGCAATAAAATCACAATGTCTAAATCACGTAGTGGGGAATGCTCATTCCTGCTACATGATAATGTGAACGGGGCCTTAATATAACTTTTTTTGCATAATCCTTCCTTCTTTTTTGTTTAAGATTTTGGTTAAAGTAGGGATGGATTGAAACTTTTGTCAAGTTTTTTATTGCTGTCTGTGTCCCTTTTGGGAAGATTTCCCCTCAGATCCTGTCCCCTGTGTCCCCTGTGGGGAGGTGTCACCAATACAGAAAGTGACAGGAAATCACCTTGATGGAACCACACACTCACCATCAGTAAAGAAGTACCAGATCTTTTAACCGTTTAATTCGCTATGCAGAAAAACAATCTGGTTGGAGTGAGGTTTTAAATATTTACACTGGTCAGTAGCCTAGTAGAAGCGGGACTGAATTTACTAGAAAATCTTGAAAAAGCAATTTCTAGCAATTTTTAATTTATTAATTATTTTTTTTTTAGATTATTTATGATACAATAATAAAAATATAGCCACTTACAGAATTGCCGAACTCTGTTCCAAGTACAATTGATCATTGCTCTGTAAAATGTATGTTCAATGTGAGAGTTAAAACATATATTGCTACAGCAAATTTAAAAAAGATGGCAAGTTAATAAATAAATATGGTCGTATGAATGTTTATTAATACAAGAGTGGAATTTGCATATGAGTGGAAAGAACATGATCTATAATTCTGCTATGGTTGCCAAAGAGAAGAATAAGTGCTTGGTTGTTTTCTTTAACATATATATGTATGGAATTTTGTGTGTAGACAGCATCGTGTCCATAACAGTGACACCTAAGCTGATTTATAGCACCACAACTGGATGAGGAGCTTCAGTGCCAAAAGTTATTCCCGAGGCTACTGGCATAAAATGGTTATTTAAAAGTATGCAATGTAAATGCTTTTTCCTAGCTCTCACTCTGTAATGTACCACTAAGCAGACAGGCTTCTGATAGGGGATTAGGCCACATTCTGGACAGCAAAGGAGGATTGCAGAAAAAGGGGTCCAGGTGCAAAATAGAGCCTGTATTATACAAGGCAAAACCTTTGGTGGTATAAAAAAAAATCAACATGGCAGTGAATCAATAGCAGATTTTGTATTTGCATATGAACAGTCAACACTCATGCTGTTCTTTTTATTTCTTTATTATAGGTGATGTTGAACTTGAATGGGAAGAGACAACAATGTAATGTAAAAGAAAGCCTGTCTTTATGTGGCAGAAGCCAAAATCACTCCTTCCTATGGTCAAGACAAGAGCAGTGGAGGAAAGAAAATACAAACTCTATTGATGCTGTGCCTTAGACTACTGATGGCGGTAATGTTTTGTGCACAGAACACAGAACATTCAACTGTTTGCACTGCTGTGGTCTCATAGTCATGTCATTTTTATCTTGAAAGAGATAAAACAGAGCCAAATGTAATGTATAGTATTACTGTCCTCTGTGTGTGGATATTCAAGATTGCATCATATTTACTTTTTGGATTTGCTATCTAATTAAAAACACAATCTGTAATGGGGTATTGCAATGGCAGTTTTCATTGTAGATACATATCCATATTTTATATATGTGCTTATGTTTTGAATTTTGAGATCCCATGCTCTGATCCAGAACAGCTGAAGGGTCGCCCTATGACACTACTGAAATATTTTGGCTTTTGCACAGCACACAGTAGCTCATCGGGGATACTTGGGGCTATGAAGTTGTGACTGCCAATCTTTTTATCTTTCTTCTTTCAGTGTTACTGTATATACTTGCTGATGAGGTACTTCGTGTATTTTTTCTTTTTTACATTGTAGAATAAAGGTTTGATTTATGATACTCCCTGGTGTAATGTGTGTTTGTCTTGGTCTTTCTTCTTGGAGTGCCCATAACTTTTACTCATTTACCTGAAATGACAAACTGTATTGGAGCTAAACTAACAGTATTCATTATAACTGAAAAAAAAACTAAATATGCATGCAATTGATTGTGTTGCCTGTAATGATACATTTGAATTCTTGTTTAATTTTTACAAAATACCAAAAGTAAAGTCTGATTGGTGTGGCAGCAACTAAACTATTGTTATTTTTTATGTAGTTTTAATGATTTATTCCAAAGATTCTAACATTACATCGCATAATTTCATCAGGGAAATATGGACTCCATTTTTACAGTTTACAATGTTGTATGTTAAAAAATGTGCAGTGAAGTGACAGAATAAAAAAAAATAACATTGGTAAAAAAAAAAAGTAAAAAGTATCGTAATTAAAGGAAAATAAGCTTTGGCTGTACTTCTCCTGTGGATTACAGAAGTGTAGTTCGTTCTGCACTCCTGTGACCCATTTTCAGCCAACAGGGGGCTGAAGTCAAACTGTTGGCTGTCGGCGCTCAGACGCTCCAGGCTAGATCACAGGAGTGCAGTTCGTTCTGCACTCCTGTGACCCATTTTCAGCCAACAGGGGGCTGAAGTCAAACTGTTGGCAGTCGGCACTCAGCCGCTCCAGACTGGGTCAAGATCCCGACTTTAAAGTTGGGATTCACCCCAAAGTCTTTAGCAGCACCTGGCTCAGCCTCTGAGCAAGCCGCTGGGAGCCCAAGTCAGTCGTTCCCTCCCCCTCCACAGCACAGTATTTCAGTGACATTGTGTAACTGATACATTGTGGATACTTTACATATACTGAGTTCAGCAGACACAAGGACTTTATAATATCTTTCCCAGCTCCATATTATTATGTCTTTAGAAGTCTCCAGCGATGAGGATTTAAATAGTTATTTGTCTTTTTACGTTCTCCAAGAAGACCAGAATGAAGATGTTACTGATTTTCCAAAGGACTCCTAAATGTAGTTTACCTGATCAAGCAATCCATTTGTGGAGAATGTTACCAGCATATGTATATTTTATAATTATTATTAATATAGTTGAAGAGTATGGAAAACCTTAAAGTGGAGCTCCAGTCTTCGGTGAAAAAACAAAAAATCAGCAACCACAAAAATTGTAGCTGCTGACTTTTAAAAACAGCCACTCACATGTCCCATGATCCAAGGTGTCCTCATTTCAGCCAGATTCATTGGACGTCCTGTGCCTCCAGTGCCAGCAAATTACGTATGGACACCCGGCTGAGACAGCTTGCAGCTTCACAGCCAGGTACCCACTGCGCATGCACGAGCAGCACTGCGCCTTGTCAATGGTCCTGCAGTCTTCTGGGACCTGTCACGTGTCCCGGAAGACTGCGGGGAGATGGGGGGAGGAGAACTTCAGCTTTCGATTACCTAGGCGATCACAGTGGAAGTGGGAGCAGGTACCTGTCAAAATCAGGTACCCACTCCCCAAAGGTGTCAATCCTTAATAGGGAGAGTGGGTGACGAAGCCTTAAAACAAAACTTCCTCTTTTAGGTGAAGCTCCATGGTTGTAAACCTTAGACATGAAATCTGGACAAAGCACATATTTTTATAATGTTTACTTGCCTCTCCCCTAAGTATGACAGCTGGCTATAGATGGCGTGTTTTTTCTTCCTGCAAGGAATAAATATCTCTTGATTCCCCCATCAATATAGTCAGTGCTGATGGAGGAATCCCTCCCACTAAGCTATTGTCTTCTCCCAGCATGGGGCCGTGGGGATCCATTCCTGTCGGAAGAACACAGTGGTATATTGCTAGCAGCTGTAGCCGCTGGCAATAATTGCATGAACAATCCAACATGCTGGTTGTACCCAGGTCAATCGATCAATTTGGGTACAATCAGCTTGTCCACACATGGATCCAGTCTCAGCCTGTCCCTGCTGAATGAGCCAAGATTCAAACCGTCTACGGCCAGCTTGATTGTTATTTCTCTCTGCTGTCTTGTTCCTCTGTTAACAGTGTCAGTCACTTCTGACAAGTTTTCTTGACACTAAGAGCTAAAAAGGTGACAACGGAGGGATATCCAGCGCACAGTCTGTGTATGATAACCTTTACTCTGTTCCTGTGTGCTGTGTGAGGAAGTGTATCACTTTCCTCCAATCAGCCCTCAGAGCTCTTGCGCAGTGTGTAACTGCAGCTCCTCACCTCCTGCTTTGTGAGTTTGTGAAAAATCTGTTTCATCTCTGAGTTTTACAAGGATGTAAAGGACAAATGGCTGCAGATAAACAGGTACAGCTTATGTAGGTGGATTTGTTTCACCTCTGTGTATAACCTGAGGCCAGTTATTTCACTGGGTTTAGGTAAAGATTTATAACCACTTTTTTTTTAGTTTTGAATAGAATGGGGAAGTATTAACACTCCCATCAAATATTTACTCCTGTTTGCCTGTAATTCTTCTTCGCTATTGATACTGACCATCCAAGTACATAAAGTGATGGGGAACACAAAAATCTAAAGTTGTAATAAGAGATGGGAGAAAATTTCTAATCGGGCCACATGCTCTGGTGGCAACTGTAAGGTATTTCACCTTGCTTTGGAATTATTTCCTCTCACTTCCTGTTGACTCTGCAGGACAGTAAGTGAAGAAAAATACCCCTATTCAAAACTAAATGTAACTTGATGTACACTTGAATTAGCTTAATGCATTTCACAGATTAAGATCTGTTTTTTCCAAGGGAGAGGCAATGGCTTATATTTCCGTAATACAACTTTTTCACAGTTAATTACCATTTTTGCTAGAGCACAAGTGTCACTCACCATAATATATCAACAGTCGAAATTGCATTCCCTCAGGATTTGCATTACAAATCAGTAATCAAAAACTTCTGAAAAATACGTGAAAGTACTGCTAAAATGTTCTGAACTTTGGGCTCAAAAACATTCATTTGAATATGCTCCTTAACTACTTCAAGACCGGACACTTTCACCCCCTTCTTGTCCAGGCCAATTTTCAGCTTTCAGCGCTATCACGCTTTGAATGACAATTGTGCGGTCATGCAACACTGTACCCATATGTATTTTTTAGCATTTTTTTTGAGACAGATAAAACTTTATTTTGGTGGTATTTATTCACAACTGGGATTTTTTTTTTTTTTGCTATATAAATGAAAAAGTCCAAACATTTTGAAAAAAAGTGTTTTCTTATAAAATTTTGCAAATAAATAATCCTTCTTCATAAATCTTGGCCTTGTATTCATCTATCTTTTTAGTTAAAAAAAACCCAAAATAGTTTATAACCAAAAATTTGAATTTTTCAAACATTTTTTTGACATTTTTATTTTATTTTTTTTATATTATTATTTATGTTTTTTTAACATACTGTCACCCTAGCAGTACAGTGTCACCATAGTACTACTTGTGGGGGGTGATAAAGATTTTTTTTTTTTTTTTTTTACACGGATTGCTTCTACACCCATAAAGGCTGTAAAAGCAACCATGTCTCCTTCTCTCTGGCTGAATTCTTGCAGCCATTGAGAAATACTGTGTGAGCTGTGATTGCTCACAGCTTGTTACATGGTACAAGGCTGTGAATAGCCTTGTACCATGTGATGTGACCTCTGTGATCATTCACAGATTTCTCAAGTAGTAAGCAATGATGTCAGGAAGTGACATCTTGCTTACTACTGTTTATGTGATCACTGATTGGCCAATCAGTGATCACATGATCGGGACCTCACACAGAGGTCCCATGCAGCGATCGGTGTTCTGCTGTGTCCGGAGGACACACCGGGCACCATATCGTGGTGCCGCTCACTCCCAGGGAGTGGACACAGGCAGGGAGCGGGGAGGACATTTATAAATGGCCACCTGCTCCTGCAATGCTCCCATCCAGCCGTTTATATACATGGGCCGGACGGGAAAGTGGTTAATAACCACAAAGGGCATGAATTCACTTTGTGTGCACTAAATGTCTTTTCAAGTCCAGTATTAACTTGTAAAAATAACATCATCATTACTGTGCTATACTGCTGGTGTGTAGAGAGCAGAGTCATGGGACGGATTCAGCAGGTTCATCCAATACATGCTACCTGCAGAAAACTAGGGGGTGGATACAAGACCAGTCACTCTGCACAAAGAAAGAGAGCAGCATTGACTGGTCTTTGTTACAGAACACTCCTGCACTGAGATACTGGGGAAGATTCACTAAAACTAGAGACTGCAAAATCTGGTGCAGAAATCAATCAGCTTCCAGATTAACTGAACAAGCAGATGTTAGAAGCTGCACCAGATTCTGAGTGCTCCAGTTTTAGTAAATTTCCCTTTATGGCTCACGCTGTAAGAATGCACAAATTTAAAAGATATAAATAAA